CTTTCTTTCTTTCTTTCTTTCTTTCTTTCTTTCTTTCTTTCTTTCTTCTCTCTCTCTTTCTCCCTTCCCTTTCTTTCTCCTATCCCTCTTTCTTTTTTTTCTTTCTTTCTCTCCTTCTCCTTTCTTTCCCTTTCTTTCTCCCTTTCCTCCCTTCCTTTCTTTCTTTCCTTCCCTCCCTCTTTCTTTCCTTTTTTTCTTTCTCTTTTTCTCTTTCTTTCCCTTTCTTTCTCCCATCCCTCTCCCCCCCTCTTTAGGTGTGGTCTTACTATGGATAGATAGATAGATAGATAGATAGATAGATAGATAGAGAGATGGATGGATGGATGGATGGATGGATGGATGGATGGATGGATGGATGGACGGATGGACGGATGGACGGATGGACGGATGGATGGATGGACTGACAGACTGACAGACAGACACACATTGAGATAGATAGATAGATAGATAGATAGATAGATAGATAGATAGATAGATAGATAGATAGACAGACAGACAGACAGACAGACAGACACCTAGAATCCTGCATCCAGTTTTAGTCACCACATTATAAAAAAAGATGTTGAGACTCTAGAAAAAGTGCAGAGAAGAGCAACCAGGATGATTAGGGGACTGGAGGCTCAAACATGCAATGAACGGTTGCAGGAACTGGCCTTGGCTAGTATAGTGAAGAGAAGGACCAGGGGAGACATGATAGCGGTCTTCCAATATTTGAGGGGCTGCCCCAGAGAGGAGGAAGGGGGTCAAGCTATTTTCTAAAGCACCTAAAAGCATCAGACAAGGAACAATGGATGGAAACTGATCGAGGAGAGATTCAACCTGGAAATAAGGAGAAACTTTCTGACAGGGAGAAGAATCAACCTGTGGAATAGAAGTAAACTCAGAAGTTGTGGGAGCTTCATCAATGGAGGCTTTCAAGAAGAGATTGGACTGTCAGAAATGGTGTAGGGTCTCCTGCTTGGGTGGGGGGTTGGACTAGATGACCTACAAGGTCCCTTCCGACTTTGATGGTCTGTTATCTGAATGTGTGGAGATCGATCTGCTTACGTTTGAAATGAAAGAGAAAGAAAACTCTGGATACCACTGTCGTGGCACAAATGGTACAAATGGTTAGAGAATAGATGCCAAAAAATAAGAAGAATGGATGAGTGTACATAATCTAAGGCACCTTAAGAAAATGATATGGTAGATACATACACTATACTGTATAAATATATAAGATGGAGAGAATTATAGATACAGAGAATACTTATTGGTTGATGTATATAAAATATAAGGTGATTTATATTTTTTAATTTTTTTTCCAAATTTGTACTTTACTAATTTATTTGATTCTTTTTATTAGTTTTTTTATTGCTATTTATTTTTATTTTATTATTATTTTTGTTTTAAATATGGTTTTACATATTTGTGTAACCCACCATAGGCGAATAGGTGGCAATATAAATAAAATAAAATATTAAATTAAATTAATAAATATAAGATATTTATATTTTCACGGCCCCTACAGACCTCTTAGGAAAGTGGGGAGGTCAACAGTAGACAGTCTGAGGTTAAAGTTTTTGGGGTCTGGGGAAGAAACCTTTGCTCATAGGCCCCCTCCCAACAGCACCCCCGCCCGCCCGCGGTCTTCCTCGCTCACCTGGAACGGCGCGCCGTGAAGGGCCGCGCAAGCTGCCTCCGCGTATTGCCGCCGTTGGGTGTAGGTGCTGCAGGCGTCGAAGCGGAGACCGGCGGCGGGGGCGCAGGCGGCGGGCAGTTGGAACTTGCGGGCGAACGCAGCCACGCCGGGCTCCACGTCGCCCTCCGGGGTGGTGAACTCATCCTGCTGGTTCCAGTTGTAAGTCCCACAAAGGCCACGGACCTGGAGGAAAGCGGGCGAGAGCCGGCCCAGGAGGGGCGCAACGTTACACCGAGCCTGGGACCGAGTCTCATCCAGAAGTTCAGTGCTTATGGATGGGATGGGATTTATTGCACCTGGCAAGAGAAAAGAGGGAAGGAAGGAAGAAAAGAAGGAGGGAAGGAAGGAAAAGAAAGAAATAAGGGAGGGAGGGAAAGACAAAAGAAGAAGGAAAGAATAAAGGAAGGAAGGAAAGGAAAGAAGAAGGGAGGAAAAAAGGAGGAAGGAAAAGAAAGAAGAAGGGACAGAGGGGAGGAGGGGAGGAAAGAAGGAGGGGAGGAGGGAGGGAGGAAAAGAAGGGAAGGAGGGAGGGAAGGAAGGAGAAGAGAAAAGGGAAAGAATAAAGGAAAAAAGGAAAGGAAAGAAGGGACGGAGGAAGGAAAAGAAAGGAAGGAAGGAAAGAATAAAGGAAGGAAGGGAACCAAAGATGAAGGAAGGAAGAAAGGGAGGGAGGGAGGGAGGGAAGAAAGGGAAGGAGAAAAGAAGAACGGGAGGGGGAGGGAGGAAAAGAAAGAAGGAAGAAAAGAGAGAGAGAGAGAGAAACGGAAAGGGAATAAAGACAAGGGTAGGTCAGGAAAGGGAGGGCAGGGGAGGGGAGGGGAAGGTAAGGGGGGAGGGGGAGGACTCCAGAAAGAGAAGGATGCTACTGTGCAGATCGAAGCGCCACCAACCCCCAGGAGGAAGGTGGCTCCTGCCCCACACCTTGCTGTGCCCAACTGCGAGTCTGGTTTTAAATGAATTCCTCCTCACCCCCGGGGACCCCTCCCCAGAAGAAGCCCTCTGTCAGGGTTCCGACGGAAGCCCTCATCCAATCGTGAGCCTCGAGCCAAACGTCAAAAGAAATCCAATTATTTATTAGGAGCGACACTTTCCCCAAGTGCACGTTGGCCATTTATCACCCTGTTTCCCTCCTCCTCCTCCTCCCAGGGTGTGTCATAAATCACATTCTCCAAACGGAGCATCTTGACGGCTGGGCGACGCCTTGGTGAGGTATGCGTGGAATGTACTTCTGGTATTTTTTTAAATTTAATTTCCTTGCTGCTCCTTCAGTATTCCCCCCACCCCGCCCCCTCCCCATGGCAACTCGAAAGGAGGCCAGGAATGCTTTACAAGTTGACATCCTCCCGAGAACTCACCTTGTGAGCGAAGCTGGGCTGGAGAGTTATGTAGGCAGCCGGGAACTCCAGGCCCCACAGCAGGTGAGCCCCAAAGGCCTGGAGGAGGAGGAAGGCGGAGGAGGCGCGGCGGACAGTCAGGTCAGCGTTGCTGAATGGGAGGGCAACGTCCTGCCCGTTCACCGAGACGGACCCTGGATGGCGTGGGAGGAAGAGTCAGGGACAGAGCAAGGTGACTGGGTGCCCAGCAGGGAACGAGCCCCCTGGGGAGCAGTACTGGAAGGAGGAGGAGGTTTGGTGATGGGGAGGAGGAGGAGAGGAGGAAGAAGAGGAGAAGAGGACTCTGTGGTCCTTGGCACTCTGTGAGGTTGTTGGTTTTCTTCTAAACGTTTCTTGACCCAACTAGACAACATCATCAGTGCTAGAAGGGAAAGGAGGAGGAGGAGGAGGAGGAGGAGGAGGAGGAGGAGGAGGAGGA